TAGTTTCAAATTTATATTTATTACTTGTAATTTTTTTAAAAAAAAATTATTTAGGGGTATTTATGATTCTTCTATCAAAGTTCAAGGTATATTTGATTTTTTTCATACATAAATTATTTTTTGACTTCTTTTATTATAATTATTTGAGTTTCTTATTCTTATTTTGTTTTTTTCTTTTATTCCTTAGTTTAAAGAAAAAAATTTAAAATATTTTTTGTGTGTATTGTAATTTAATTTCGTATTCAAAGAAAAATTTTTGTCATCTACAATAAGTTTTACAAGAATATTAGTGAAACATAAATAAATTTCATTATCAAAAAAATAATTATAAATTAGTCATTGAAACAAAAAAAAGTCAAAAAAAATTGTTTGACGAGGATTAAATTTACTCATATGGATTATATTTTTTAGAAAAAAATAATAAAAATTTAGATTAAAATTATTATTTTTTTCATTTCCGTTAGAGGAAAAAGGGTATATGTGAGCAATTTGTTTACAAGTAGGGGTATATATGAGTCACTTTCATAACCAGAGGTATATCAGCTCTAAATGACAAAATTGAGGGGTCTATCAGACCCTTTTCCCTTCATTTATATACTTTATCATTAATAACATATGTCTAAATTACTGATTATTAAAGTATATACCAAGATCTGTAACATAAACAATGTTGTCATTGAACTACTCAACAGGAGGAAAATATACAAATATTTAATTGTGAAGAAGAAGAAGAGAGGGTTTAAAATTTTCTTTGTTTTAAAATGAGATTAAATCCCTCTATTTATAAATAATAAATGATAATGTGAAAAAAAATTATTGTGTCTTATCAGAAAGGTTACAACTATTTATAAAAGTTGCAACCCTTTGAAAAGGTCACAACCTTTTATAAAACTCGCAATTTTCATTAAACTCACAACTCTCAATTAAAGTCGTCACTTTTCATTAAAGTCCAATTTTTCATAAAAATTGTAAATTTTCATAAAAGAATAAGACTAATTTGAAAATAAATAAATTAAAATGAAATTCAAATTTCGAATAACGCCATATAGGAGGACCTAAAGGAAAACTTCACTCCGTTAATTATGTAAGTTTTCATATTTAAGATCTAGTAACTTCTCATATATGTAAATTATGTTTGTTTATTTTGATATGTAAAAACAGTTTAATAGTTTTCTTTAAAACGAATTTATGTTACTTAATATATGATTATTCTCTTAGCCCTTAAAAAGCATCGATGGATTAACCTGTAAATTTCTAGGAATCTGATAGGTCATGTTGAATGTTCTTAAAACCCTCTCTTCTTCTTCTTCACAATTAAATATTTGTATATTTTCCTCCTGTTGAGTGGTTCAATGACAACATTGTTTATGTTACAGATCTTGGTATATATTTTAATAATCATTAATTTAGACGTATGTTATTAATGATAAAGTATATAAATGAATGATAGATTTTAAGTATGATTTCATAAATTCTGTGATAGTAACTTCTGTGATATATATATATATATATATATATATATAATTTCTCATTTTATGTTTGATCGAATTATGTTTAGCCACAATTTCTATTAATTTATTTTAGATCTTAAATTTTTTTTATTATCATTTCTTTCTTAAATCAACCCAAAATGAAATAAATAGTACGCTGAATTCTAAAATTTATGAGAAAAGACATAAAAAGCATCACTGAAGTTGTTTTGAATTTTTAAAAAGACACCTTAACTTTGCGGAAATTTTATTACCCCTTAAACAATTTTAAAGTGTTGCAAATACCCCATTTTTTAATCATCCTCACTTGCAAGAAAAGAAGCTCAATCACGCACCAATTATAATCTGCCACATATTAATTTTTATTTTTATTTTTGTTATTTTATCAACTTCATTTTCTTTTTCTTTTTCTCTTTCTTTATTCTCTTTCTTCTGCTTCTTCTTCTCATTCATTACCCTCCTCTGTTTCTCTTTCTTCATTCTCTTTGTTTTTCTTCTTCTTCATAACCAAATTCTCCACGTACTGTCATTTTTGTCAATTCACTTTTGATTAGTTAACGGAGATCTAAACTTGATATTACTAGTTTGAAATTTTTTTGAGATGTGTCAATATAATGAGTTATTTTCTGTTAAAGCATCTATTATAAATAATTTTTTATGATTCTATTTATCAATAATAATTTTTTTCAAACTCTAATTCATATTATTAAAGCATCATTGTGGAAGATGATGAGATAAATTTGTGTTAATGATATTTGATCCGCCATTAATTAAGTTTAACATATTTGAGGCAATTGTTACCCAATTTGAGGAAGATGATGAGGTAAATAATTAATAAAAAAATTTATTGAAACGACTTTTCAATTGATTTTTGACAGCAAAAGTGGACCTTCACGCATCATGTGCGTGTTCACAAGCATGACGAGAAAATAAATCAAAATAATTCTTTTACAAAGATATTAAATACTTTTGTGAAATAATAAAATATCCATAAAGTTAAAATATATTTTTAAAATTCAAAACAACTTTAATAGTGCTTTTACGTCTTTTCTCAAATTTTATTAAATCTTGCATGTTGCATCAGTTCGTTTATATAACCAAAAAAGATGATCATAATAATCTGATGATAAAGTTATATTCAATGAGTATAAGTTATTCGAATAAAGTTAACAAAATATAA